GAAATATTTCCTGAATAAAAATGTTTTAAGTTTTGTTTTAAATGTTGTAACACTGTCCGCACTTTTGATATATTCTGGGGTAGTGTTCCATAACTGAGGTGCTGCAGTGGAAAACGCGCGTCCTCCATATGTTTTGGATTTTATGGCTGGGGTGCATAATAGCGAACGGGATGACGATCGTAGAGCTCTTGATGGATGATAATCCTTAATCAGAGGTTCCAGATATCCAGCAGATTGTCCATTTAAGATCTTATATGCGATAAGAAGAATCTTAAAATGAATGCTTGCTTCCACAGGTAGNAGTGGAAAACGCGCGTCCTCCATATGTTTTGGATTTTATGGCTGGGGTGCATAATAGCGAACGGGATGACGATCGTAGAGCTCTTGATGGATGATAATCCTTAATCAGAGGTTCCAGATATCCAGCAGATTGTCCATTTAAGATCTTATATGCGATAAGAAGAATCTTAAAATGAATGCTTGCTTCCACAGGTAGCCAGTGCAGGCTCTTTAATAAAGGTGTAATGTGGTCAGAGCTGCGGGCTCCTGTTATCATTCGAGCTGCGGTATTCTGAATTCTTTGTAACTAATCTCTCTGGTATTTTGAAATGTCATATAAGAGACTATTGCAATAATCGAGCATGGAAATCACAAGGAAATTCACCAACATTTTCAATCCATCGGAAGGAAGGTACTTTCGAATACGACCAATTGATCTTATGGCATAACTGGCTTTCTTGCACATTTCGTTGATATGTTCAGTGAAACACAAGGTTTTATCCATGATGACACCCAAATTCTTGGCTTTTGTTTTCACTTCTACTAAGGTGTTAGCTAATGATAATGTTTCGTAAACTGTAGGTTGCTTGTTGAAACGCGAGGTGAAATGTAATATTTCAGTTTTTCCAGGGTTACACTTTAACATATTCTTAGTGTTCCACTCAAAAACATCATTGATGCATCCGTTTAGAACACCGACAGAGTCAACGGATTGTTTAGGATCGTTAATGATGATGTAAATTTGGGTGTCGTCCGCATAGAACATGGAGTCGAGACCGTGGCTACGTATAACAGCTTGGAGAGGTGCCATATAAAGAGTGAACAGCAGCGGCCCGAGTATTGAGCCCTAGGGAACGCCATACTCTAAACATCGTGGCGGAGATGTTGCATCCGCTATAAAAACTCGCTGAGATCGGCCAAGCAAGTAAGAGGAGAACCATTTTAGAGCTGTTTCTGTGAAATTAAAATATTCCCTTAGTCTCGCGAGGAGAATTTGGTGATCGAGGGTGTCGAATGCTGCGGACAGGTCAATTAGCACAAGTATTACTTCACCGTTGGTGTCAAGAGTCTTTAGGATGTCATCGGTAACTCTAAGTAGCGCAGTCTCTATTGAGTGATATTTCCTATAAGCAGACTATAAGGCAGGAAACAGGTCATTGTCATTCAAGTAGTTGTGAACTTGGATGGCAGCTCTAAAAAGATTATGGAACCTCTCCTTACCATACAATCGATATCCAGACATCAATCGGTTATTTAGTCCAAATTCTACAGGTTTTTTCAATTTTGGACGAACCAGCGATGTTTTTAATGAGGTTGGAAAGATTCCATTTGAGAACGATTGTCTCACAATTCCGCTGACCATAGCTAGTACAGAACTTATGTTATCGTTAATAACATGCGTCGGGATCGGATCGAGGGAGCAGGTCTTGTTTGAGAGGGATGATAGGACGTTCTTGATGCTTTCATTTGATGGCGGCGTAAACTGAGAAAATTCACAGTGGAGTATTCTTTGTTTTTCGTCATGATGGTCTGACGAAGGATTCATTAATTCCATTCGTAGGCCTTGTTTTTTGCCAATGAAGAACGCATTGAAGTCTCCAGTAAGCTGTTCAAGAGAATCATAAGGAGGTAGCACAGGGGTATTTACTGAGAAAAGGCCGTCAACAAGTTTGAAAAGCTGATTGCGATCTGCCTGTTCTATTCTACTCTTGAAAACGTTACGTATGGAATTTTGCAGTAGAGAGTTATATTCAGAGCATTATCATTCAAATTGCTGTTTGTCGACTGTAAGACCAGACTTCCTGAATTTACGCTCCAGCCTGCGTTTATCTCGTTTAGCTTGTCGTAGATTGTCATCATACCACGGAGCTTGTGGACGGTGTCTAATCCATCGTGTTTAAATTGGTGCAAGAGTATCATAGATACCTTTAAGAGCATCATTATATAGGGAAAAAAGGTCATCTAGTGATCGCGTAGATGTAGAGCTGTCGATCTGTGAGAATGCATCAGCAATATCGCGTTGTAATTTAGTGACATCCAAGCTCTTTGTTGGTCTATATGTCTTTAAGATCTTTGCAGGAGGTGACTTGGAGTGGTTGATTTTACAGCATATTACTCTGTGGTCAGAGTAAACATCAGCAAGTACTTGGACATCAGCGATCATGTCTTCTTCCTTCCTAGTAATGATCAAGTCAAGGGTGTATCTATGTCGATGAGTAGGGCTCTTAACATGTTGTATTAGGTTAACAGACTCCAAGAGATCAGTGAATTTTAGAGCATCGCGATGATTCAAGTCATCGACATGGAAGTTGAAGTCTCCAGCGATGACTAGTGGATAAACATAGTCTTCCATCAGGTGTTCGATAAGCTGAGAGAATTCTTTGAAGAACATCGATACGGTCAACTTGTTCTTCCTGGATGGTGGTTGACGATAAATTATAACCAGACGTACTTTGAATTTCGCATAAGAGATAGTAACGTCCAGGTGTTCAAAGGATGTAAACTTAGGACTTGCATTCTTTACGGTGTTGAAAACTTTCCGAAAAAACAATGCAACACCTTCGCCTTTTGCGTTTTCTCTCGTGGCTTAAATAACTTTGAAATCTGTTAGTGAATTTAAAATTTCAGCGAGTGAAGTATTATTTCCACTGCTTGCCAGCCAGGTTTCAGTGACTGCAAAAATATCTTGTTTATTAGATACTATGATGTCACATACTGATGCAGATTTCTTTTGCAGAGAATGAGCATTCCAGAGCGCAAGTTTAATTTTATTTGCTGCCGTTTCCTCTTGACCGCGTGTGTTATTTATTTTGGTTAAATTGCCTTGATTCCTTAACTGTATACGATTAGTTGGATATCTGTTTCGCCGAGTGATACAAAATGAGATTTGACTTTCATTTGACATTATTTCGTGTGTATTTCCGTTGCTAGAAATAAGGTTTCCAGTAGGTCTAAAGCCAGGTTGAGTGGGCCTTGGTGGAAACTGTTCACATTGCCTGACGCAACATAAGTTATTCAAGTTTGCACCATTCCATGAATCATGCTTAAACTTTATAACTTCATTACGGCGCCGAAGGGCAGAAATTTGTCGATTTTCATATCGTAGAGATAATCCTGCACGTATTCCTCGTGTTCGCAATATTTATTATTCATTTGCCTCACATAACACGAATACAATTACAACAAGACGCTATAGGAGCGTACACTTCGGCGTCGTGGTGTGAATTAATTGTGAGTGTGGAGGAATAGTAAGAAAGTCACCGAAAGTCTGCTACGTATATGAACGCGTGGCTGTATTATAATTTATTATAATTTGTGTCATGAATAAATTGCGCACGACGAGATGTCGGTTCCACTTCCTTAATTTCCTCTATAACAACACTTTCCTTGCGTACAGTCAACTCCACACCTTCTCCAGCAACGTAACTAACGTCTGTACACCCCACTACAAAACTTCATAAATACTTCACGACCGACCGACCGTGAATATCATCGTGAAGGACTCCCTACTTTGTTCTTTCTTTTTTTCTTCTTCTTTTTTGCCTGTTGTGTGGTGTTATTTTTAAAAGTTGTTGAAAAGCATATTTAGCATTATTACGGCCGCTGGATTTCGAAAAAAAAAAGAACACACAAACACGGCAGTACAGTTTGCGTGAAAATTGCAGATTGCTTCAATGTTTTCTGTAAAATACTTTTGCAGTCAATATTTGTAGCCAGAAAAATAAATAAGAATAAGAATAAATCCAAGAACTCGAAGATATCGGGAGCTTCTTTGAAACATTCCTGAGCGTCGCGAATCCTTTACTTCGCGCTCCGCCGAAGTAACAAGCCGAAAAATCACGACGTTGCCTGCCTAATCTTGTCCCGAAACCGGTGCATAACTTCATAGTTTTTTATATTCCAAACTACATTGGGTGTAGCAAGAAATGTCAGGATGCATATGCCTAAAGGAAACTATAAAGCTTAATGCTAATTAGGCCTCCTCAATTCCAATTTTCCAAAGATGGCATAAAATTACAGCGACAAATACAAAACATTATTAGATGAAAAATTAAAATAACAATCAATATCAAGGAAGTTTACAAATGTTGAATAGTAAACAGCTTTTTCCCAAGAGTTATGTTAGAGTATGCTAATAATTGTTACAAATAAATACATGAAGTGCTCTGTTAAAGGAAGAAAGGGAGGGCGAGTTGATGATGTTGGTGTTTAGGGTGTTATAAAATTTAGGTCCTGGATAAAAATACAGAAAATTGTTTGATTCGAGTACGACAGAAAGGTAGACGAAATTTCAAGAGTTTCTTGTGATATACGGATGAATTTGACTTTGCAAGGTAAATTTACAATAAAATTTTAAAGGTAAAGTATGGTTTTGATAGGAGGGCATGAAAAAGCCAGGTTGTACATGTTTTATTACATTACTTGCAAAAAATTTCGGACGATTTTAATTTCGGGCAAAAAAAGTGTCCGAAATTTTTACGCGTCCGAAATTCTTACAGTACAGTATAACACTTTTAAGTACTTTATTGGGCGACGCCATCAGGCCAAGTATACATGCCATATACATAGCTAGAACTCGGATTAGGCTTCAGTCGTTCTGTATATCACTGGAAAGGAAACTTTTTGTTGCTTTTACAAAAAAAAACAATGTACAAATAAATTTCTTTTTGCATGCATAAAAAGTTGCATATTGTGAGCCAAGCCCAGTGGCGTTGCCAGTGCTAGTCCTCTTCTGCTTCATCATCAGTCATGAACACAATTGACAGAGCGATATCCTCTTCATTGTCACTAGCAAGTGATTCTTTTTCATCTGTACCTGATTCGTAAAGAAGCTCGTAGTTGTTTTCAATAAGTTCTTTCAGACGGTGAAGAAGGGACCGCTCGCTGTCGTCAAGTTTAAAATGTGGTTCGGAGGACTATCTCAAGCCCTCCCTTTGCAATTGGAGAAGGCCTATACTTTTCATCCTCATCATTGATGTCAACACCAAGTTATCTGTAATAAAGTCAATTCACGCCCGCTGGCTGGTACGACCACCGCCGAAACAAACCCGAAGTGATAAGAAAGGGTTTTTAAGATGGCTGGAATAGTGGAAGCTGTTACTTAGGAACTAGAACCAGACGATCCTTTTGAAGATCTTGGTTGCAGATCATTGAGCCACTTTAAGCTCCAAAACCCTTTAGTTAGTTTCCTTTTTGAAGCGAACTCTAGTTGAAACACTGCTTGAGATTACGACTTGATAGAATTTGTGTTATTTTCTCGGCGGACGGTGTATCTGTAAAACCTTGAGGGTGCAGTAAAATGATCAATGTCACAGACGTAGTTTCAGTCTATATTCATTTTTTATAGGCGTAAATCTACTTTCGCCGTGTTTCAGCAAAGTGTCCGAATTTTTGGTCCGAAATATGTCCGAAATGAGATAAAAAGTGTCCGAAAATTAAACGTCCCAAATAAAACGTCCCAAATTTTAACGTCCGAAAATTTTGGCAAGTAATGTAAGTATAATAAGATACCAAGATTTGAAAGCTTGGATCAGTTTGTGCATCGAAAGGAGTTTTAGCTATAGTTCTGATCACTCGTTTCTGTAAAATCTCAAGACGAATAAGGTTAGTTTTGATGGCAGAGGTCCAAACTAAGTTGCAGGAAAAAAATATGGATGGACTAGAGAAAAATATAACGTTCGAAAAGTTTCGAAGATAAATAGAAACTAGATTTACGGATAATTCGTATGGATTAAGAACCTGCTACTTGTAATAAGTTTACAAGTACTATAGTTATTACCCGGGTAAGTTAAAAGTAAACTATTTTCAAATCAAAACAGAACCATTCTCCCGAATATTTAGAGGTTACATATAATCTTACTTTTTACAGTTTAAAAGTAATACCATAACATTTTCCGAAATGGCACCTTTTTTTCCAACTGGCTGATAATTTGCCGTTACCATGGTTACAGTCACTCGCATAGCCTGTTCCAGGCGTTCAGAGCTGAGATGGTGGCGAGCGATTTAAACGGCACGTGGGGGAAAACCAGAGGGAAAAATGAGGCGAGAATGGGGCGAGAGCAAGGGAAACTAGGTTCCCCTTCTCCCAAACATACATCTTCAAAAGTAATAAACCGTTTTTCAACCCTGATATTTTCATTTAGGGAAGGTTCTGAATCCCTAATAAGTAGTCTTTTTTTTATCTTGCAACGAGTGTCCGACCGTCCTCTTGCCAAAAATGTGTGAGTTTTGTGGCTCACAGCCAGTTTAGATTTTTGATCGTTAATTATTCTCTCGCGCTCTAGTATCTGAACGCCTGGAACCAGGCCGTGATCGCTCACATTGACAGAAGACAAGGACCAAAGAATTACTGGTAAGAGAGTCGTAGCTTAAGTTCACATAGTTAATCAATTTTATTTGTTTGCATTGATATGGTCTAAGTTTTCCGGATAGAATTTCTCTAAAATGTTCGAACTATACTGAATAAATTGAGCAAAGAAAGTGAATAAAGGTTGTTCAACTTTGCAGGTCTGTTACTGTAATTAACATTATCATGAAGAACGGAGAGGTTGCATTTACTCTTTACATTTGCTTATGTTATGTGTAATAACAAATTTAGTTACCATATTCAGAATCGAACAATTTCAATTAAAGCTGTGTCCTGTCCTTTAGGTTTTAAAAGTTAAGGCTATCACTAAAAATTCCTCTGTTATAACAGTTGTTTGAAAGCTATTGAGCTCGAGTACTAAGCTGTGGCGAGTCTGTAAAAATCTATAAAGAATGTTTACCATGCAAGTTTACATAATGCAGTTTGGAGGTCAAATCAATAGGCTCATTTAGCAAAAGAACGGGGAACGTCAGTGGTAGGGCGACAAATTGGGCCCCGGAATTAAGTCGAGTTTAGTCCTTTCCGCGCGCTTTCCCGTCGTCAAATGACATTCCCGTTCTGTTGCTAAATCAGCCTAATATATGATGCATGCTACCTACCTTGTGGCTGCTTCCAAGCCGCTGTCAGCTTCAGTTTGCCGGACTGGCCATCAGGTGGATTGGCAACATATACAATACTGTTGATAGTTACATTGCTAGCAGATTCGGGCACAAGTGGTACTAAAAGATAAAATGAAAGAAATTTCTAACAACGTACTCTAATTAATGAAAAAACTTCCCCCTCTTTTAAGAATATCTAGTAATAGGTTCTAAGTGCGTTTACCCGCATTGTGAGATTCTACGCGGCTTTCTTGTACGGCCAGACCAACAACAGGAGTCAATATTTATGGAGTACTTTATCTGTATGATGATGATAATCATGCTGAGATGCTGAGATGATGATGATGATGATGATGATGATGATGATGATGATGATGATGACGATGATGATGATGGTGATGATGACGATGATGGTGATGGACTACCACTACCACTACCACTACCACTACCACTACCACTACCACTACCACTACCACTACCACTACCACTACCACTACCACTACCACTACCACTACCACTACCACTACCACTACCACTTGATGATGATGATGGTGATGATGATGATAATAATAATGATGATGGTGATGGTCCTAGTGATAATGATTATGATATCGCGTTACGAGGACGTCAAAATTTTGACTTTTTACAATAATAATTTCATTTGTGTTTGTTCTAGATATTAATGATTATTTATAATAAATTATCATCATGGTAATGATGGTTCCATATGATAATAATACCATACAAAAGTTTCAACGATGGAAACAAAACAATTCTAGAATTTGATGAATATCAGCATAGCGTTATATATTACAGAGTTAACGATTGCGATTGATTGAGGCACCTTTATGGGTCTTATAGTGACGTTTACAACAAAAGTGGAGACTTAGCGATCCGACAACGGTCCAAAAACCCTCTATTACTGTCTCAATTACAACTTGAGGGCAAGTGCTAACTTGATGTGAAAATAAATGTTAATTATTATAGAACAGAAATTACATACTGTTTAAAAAGCGAGCAAGAGTATATTATCAACTCATTCTTGCAGTAATCATGTTTAGATTTGGGGTTATTTTGGTCTAAAAAAAAATTGCCCGGGACTTAAATTTTAGCTGTGTCTCAGTATCAGATATAACGGACACTCATTAAAAATTAATTCCTTTTTTTCTATATGAATTATTAATGAGTTTTTGAATTTTGTGTCAAAAGTGAAGCCCTTATCTTCACTTTGTCTTTAGATAGCGACTGGAAATGACTCATTATTAAACCCTTAGGCAAGAATTGTCATATCTCAGTTTTAAAAGTTTGAAAAGCCAAAAATGATCATTCGTAGTCTAAAATGATGTTCCTTACAATTATATATTCTTCTACTATTACAGCCCAAACCGGAGCTAATCTTGAAGTAAGAGTAAGCTACTGCTGCTTTGGATATCAAATTTGAATATTTCGATGGCAACAATAACTCCGAGCAGATAAAGCGGTAACAAATCGACCCGGCAAATCGACAGCAACTATTCATGGTCTATACTTTTATCGACCATAGAAATAACGTTAAAATGTTCAAAACTCAAGTGGAAAGCTATGAACATTTTGACGTCATTTACAAAATACAAAACATGAACAGTTTGTTTGTTTGTTTTTCAAATAAGATTAATTTACATTTTTTTGACGTCTAAAATCGAACGCGTATTAGGAAAAAAAAAACATATTGCGCCAGACGTCAATTCAATGGCCTCTGCTTTTTACCAATCACTGAGCGAGCGAGATATCGCTTACTTAATTTGAAGAAATTCATATCTTCTTCAATATACTTACTTAGGTTGTCAGTTGTTTTTGTCCCAATGCTGATAGATGAATTCTCTGTAAGGACCGCTACGTGGTATTTGTAGTGGATACCATTGAAAGATTGGCGAGGAAAACCTGCCCTGACTTTTCGGCACAGCGATGACGTACTGATAGTAATGCGAGGAACTAATAATACCTAAACATGAGATTTGATAAAATAAGAACGTCAGCAAGAACAGAAAAGATATTAACCTTTAAGAACCATATAATGGCTCAAGGCTACTCGTCTATAACTAACTAGTAATAACCAAAGGTTAGGGAGTGCAGGCGACGATCGAAGGTCCAAACGCTTTTACTCCAACGCTGTGCTTTGCGTAAGTTTCACGTGACAGATGGTCAAAACACGGGTGATAAGATTACGAGGGGTAGAAGGTCGAAACGCGTGTGATCAAGTTAGGTTCTGAGCATTTCTGCTCATTCTTAGTGACAGTCCAAATGAATGCTGGCTACATACATGCGGCACATGCGTAACAAGAACCCGGAGATTAGAATTGCGGGCTCCTATTATCGCCCGCAATAACTTTATTCCTTTCCACGGATGGCTATTCAATGTAAGTGCATCAATATCAAATATCATCAATATCAGTACTATAAAAATATAAAACATTTTTTTAAAAAAAATAAAACTATAAAACTATATATTCACTAGATTTTAACAAGATATCAGCAACATAGCCTCTGATTCTCTCCGTTACAAAGACAAAAGTAATATAAGCAGCCTTGTCTTAAAAATAGACTGCTTACTGAGAGTTTTAAATAACGCATAGTCCTTCTTGAATGCCGCAATGTTTGTTATCTTAGTGAGCCTTTCGGGTAGGGTGTTCGACGGTGAAACGGCCCGACAATGAAAGGTCCTTTGGCCAGCGGCAGGTACTGTGCAAGGGGCAGATAGTCTGGTGCCAATCCTCTTAAGCACTTGAAAGCTAATATGCCTTCGCTGTAGACACGCATGGTTGCAACAGGTATAGAGATTTTAGAACAGGGGTGATGTGATCAAATTTATACGAACAGGTTATGATCCTAGCTGCGAAGGTTTTGAGCATGATGTAATTAACTGATATTCTTATTCATTGTACTTGTTCAATTCTGTACTTTAACGCTTAACGGAAGAACAGTAGTAGAGTTTCCTATAGAGACTAAAGCATTGATAACGTTTAATAAAGTGTCTGTGTCTAAAAGAATGATGTTTCAGTCCCTATTAAATTGACATAAATACTTTTATGAGGTCATCAAAACTCATGGTGGCATCCATATGCACTTTAAGGTCCTTTGCCGAAGGAACCGGGCGCAGCTCTTTCTCTAATAAAGTACCATGTAAATCAAGATCTACAGGCACATTTTGCAACATTTTACGGGTACCAGTTAAGCGCAATTTCGTTTTATCAGGGTTGATTAGAAGGCTATTTTGACAGCACCACGAGGCAACTTCCTTCAGCTCTTCTGTTATTTGTCGAGCTGCGCTGTCGATGTCCTTGACTGGGAATGATAGATGTAATTTGGAATCATCTGCGAAGGATTGTAAGGAGCAATCATCTAAAACACCAGGCAAATCGTTGATGTACACATTAATAAGGCCGGTTTCAGAATGGATCCTTGAGGAACTCCGTGTGTAGATTTACGCATTCCGGATATTTCAGAGCCAATTCGTAGGTACTGCTGGCGATCATGACTGTAGCTCTTAAAACATTATAGCGCTGGACTAGAATGGAGACTATTACGACTTCTGGAAGTAAAACTGTGTTAACTCCCCAGTGTCTCAAATTTAAAATAACTTCTCACTTTAAAGCAGTTGATTCACAATGCAGCTGTTTATGTAACGTAATTACTATTTTTGTATTTAGTACTCGCACGCTGTGGTATGGATTGAGGAAATTAGATAAAAATAAATGAGAATAAATAAATTGACAGGTTGGCCTGCTAAATTTCAAGAAAAATGATATTCTGAACTGGGTGCGCACCGTGTTAATGAAGTATGAAAATTTGTAGAAATCCCCTTCAAGCTCCACGGCAATCAAGTACACAGAGGTACCATTTGTAGTATTCACAGGCTCCCATTGTAAGGTAATTGATGTGAAAGTCCTGTTCCTTAATGTTGGTGTGCCTGGGACTGGCGGTTTGGACCCATCTCCATTTTTTATTGACGAGAGTGTTTCTAAATACTTCAGAAACCTACAGCTCACTTCACAACTGCTAGAATTAGTCTGCAAAATAAGAGGCAAACCAACTTAACAAAAGCCCATTATAAAAAATATACACACCATTAAAACAAAACTGAATGCAATTAAAGGCTAGCAAATTACGGCAAAGAGCTGATTTTATTTGAAGCCAATACTTCGGCTAACAAAACTGATTAGCCTTTAGCCAGAGCTACACTGAAAGAAACTACTATAACGGCTCCTGAAATTTGAAGTGATTGATAAGGTACAGTTCAACGTTTTTCCGTTCGGTCTAGACTGTCTAGTGAAAGGGTTCTGCCTCTTACAAGGTACGCTGGACGGTTTCAAAATGATAAATTTGGGTTAGGATTTTTACTTACACACTCGTTGATGCAAATTGCTTCATTTTTGAAAGTCTTTCCACACGGTGATAAGCACTGAAAAAAAGAAGGTTCCTAGATACATTAAAAGCTGCAAGTTACAAGCTACATTCATTTAATTTCTTAACTATTACATGAGGGTCATTAACAAAATTGAGACCAATAAGCCTTTGAGATACAAGTGATAGTAGACGCCGCCTTTTTTGGGCATTATCATATTCGGCTATGAATATTATTTCCCTAACCTTTTTAGTGCAAGTACTTTACAGCTTGCCGAGTTTTTTGGTTCCCTTTTAAGATATATTCATGGGGGTAAAATTGGAAATTTTTTTGAGATAGAACACAAATTTTGTGTGCTTTCTGCGTTGAATATTCGCATGATTGTTTTTTAAGTAAGCGGACCAGGTTGGTGATTAAAAAAGAAGATCTACCTTAAACAGTGGGGAACCATTCAATCTCATCACTTTTGATTCAAGAAGACAACTAGCATCAAACGACCGGTAGCCGGACAGGGCCAACATCAGTCGCTAGGAACTCCTCCCTTCCCCCCTTCTTGCATTAGGAACCCCATGACTATCGGATTTATTATGTAAACATTGATTTACGTCATCAGTATGGAATTTCTGTTGCTGAGTCGCAGACGTTCCTCCTTGCGAAACGTCCTCAGCGGCGAAGAGTGTGGAGAAACGACTGTTTTCGCAGGCTAAAACTTGTAATTTCAAATCAATGAATGAACTTTAGCAAGTAATTGCGCTTATTTATTGTATTTGCTATGTGTTAGACAAATGTCAAAATGAGCTCAAAATTATTAAATATCAATAGAAAGTGTTAAAGGAAGACAGTTAAAAGGAACCGGAGTTAAAATGAAACGCGTCATAGGAACCGGAAAGTACGCGGTTGATGACGTGAGCTCTTTTATCAGTTAAAGTTCGGATAAGCAGTACTCGGATGTAGTTTTACGACTACACCGAGCGGAAACGTACGTTATTTTTTCCCTCAGTTTCATCATCATCTTCAGCTTTGATAAGACTTTCTTTGTAACTAAAGAATCCTTGAATGTAGTTTTTTGTAGTTCAATAGCGGCCAAACAGCCGTCATAACTGGAACAATCCGCACTTAAGTACTTTTATGAACTATATATTAAACCTTTGTGGTACTAGCTTTAAAGCAAAAAAAAAAAAATGGGTAAACGTAAGAGCACTTTTAAAAATTAAATGAGAATAATCAGAAGAAAGTCGGAAAATAAGTTGTCCTTGAATGCGAAGTACTGAAAAATATGGCAGTAACAATTGTAGTCAATAACCCTTTAAGTAGACTGACCCGACAGTCCCAACAACAGCTGTCTGTTCAGTTGAAACCAGCACTTACTTCTTGACAAGCCGTGGTTCCACATACCCTCTCAGAGTCATTTTTACGGTCTGCATACTAAAACAGAAAAATTAAAAAATAATAATAAAAAAACAGGGAAATTGAAACCTAACAGTGAATAACAGTCTAAAACCTCGTTTAAGTTTACGGATTCTTGGTATGACAGGATGAGTAACTCATTCTTAACTAACCGAAATATACTTTGATTACCATGCGCAATTCTACTTGACGGTATTTAAGACCTTTGTAATGAATTGGCCAACCTTAATTATAGGACAAACACGAAATTCATTATAATCGAATGCTAAACTGCCCGAGAAGTCACAACTAGGTTCGATTTAGGGTCTTGTATAAACGAGAATCTTGAAAAGCTTAATTCTCATAAATGGAGCTAAGTATCATTTTTCTTAATTTAAAAAGGTCCATGCCGCAGCTCATGACTCCCCTCCCTCTGCCGCCCCCCCGAGAAAAAAAAGAAAACAGAAAAGAAAAGAAAAGAAAACGTGGTCTTCCCCAAGTGTGGTCGGTCTATCATGTTGTTGCGCTGATTTTCATTCGAATTATCATGCATCAGATAAGGTGTCTCCAGCTCTTATCGCCGCACCGCAAATGATTAACTTCAGTTTGGAATCTCCAAAAATTTAAATTAAGGAGAAACGTTTTTGCCCGGCTGCTACGTTCTGTAAAGAGGCTTAGCTGTAGCTGTAAAAGATCATGTTGATAAAAACCATCGGTCACCATATTTGTCTTACATGAGTGTGTTGACATTGGAAAACTCTAAGTAAAAAGATTAAGAGTGAAGGGTATTCGATGCTATCTTAAAGCTCATCTTGCCCATTATAGTACGGAAACTAACACCATAGCATTCTCACTTATGCCACATAATAAACAAGCACACTGCGTTAGTGTTTAAATCATTATTATGAACGCTTTTATTAATTTCGTTAGTTGAAAAAACAAACATACTGCACTAAGTATATGGTAAAACCGCCTTTTTTTCTGTTTTTTTTTTTCCGCTGTTTTATTGATCATTATAAAATGGTCCTTCAACATACGGACAAATTTGAATCTAACTTTGGTTTTTGTGTCTTCTTAGCATTGCCCCCTACATTCAGATCAGGAAAAATTGTTTTATTGTATTCGACTGTTTCTACGACACTATGTCATACCATAGAATGGCGTAGGATTAGTAATGACTTTTGCCAGTCATCGGCTGTTAAAGTAATCATGTTCAGTCAAGGACACTGAAGTGAGTGATCTATGACACAGGCAATATTACGTGGGCGATTATCGAAATTATCGCGTGCTTCGAACTAACTATCTAGGTTGGCTATTAACTATGTCGTACAGGCGGTTTCACTTACTAAACCCAAACATGAACAATATTATTAAACAGTAGTAACGCATGAGCATGAGACATGTTACGTATCGTTTGAATCTAGGAAAACTAGCTTAATTTATAATTTCATGTTCAATCCCGGCGGGAACTCAGATTTTTCATTGTTCTAATGTAAGCTCAAGACATCCCGATTACTGCTGACTTCCACATTCACAAACGAGTTAAAAATTTACAAACTTTTTGTTCAGTTATCGGAACAATATCGCCGTTTCCTTTGACGTCTGTATGTATTATAATGAAAACCCGCAAGAATAATTGCCTTTGTCTCGCTTATGACAGTAGGTTTTATAAGAGTTCATTGTTCAGTATTCGGGCTTGCTAGTAAGTTCCTTTTAATTCAAGTTTGAAATATCAGTCATAACCTGAGAAAGAGCAGTTGTTCTACTTTGTCAAAATAAAAAACGTCTAAAAAGCTCCTCGATAACAAAGGCAATCAGTTTTCTGTCATTTGCCAGTAGTAATGACTTCGCATAAGTCAAATTGTGATCGTAATTGTGCAAGTTTTTATTATGTTGAAAATGACGTAATCATATAAATTATTTCTTTTTTTAAAAAAAAACATCGTTTCACTGGTGGGATAGTAATGTTAAACCTTCTTGGTGCAACATAATAATTTAACTGGGGCAGTTATTTGAAGTGGTCGCCACTTGAAATGAATGGTGAAATCACATGATTTAAGACTCTAATAAGAGACCGGCTTGGTATTCAGATATCAGGTAAATAATACCACCATTATAGCCCGGCAAAATAACACATCGACCGTGACAGTCCATAGTGAGACAAAAAAAATGTTTAAACAGCTATTTCGTCTTCGTTTGCCTCAGTATATTCACTCAAATAATATTAAGCAGGCACATTTCCACTCTTAATATTGATAGCGGTTGGCCGCAAGATTGTCAAACGTGCGTTTTTATCTACTGGTTTTATTTGTAGGACCTTAGTGGAAGGTGAAATTTTATCTATGAATATAAATCTATACTCCTTCACAACGGCCCTGAAATCTATGTAAATTGCACATTGCCAGGACCCAATGCCTTCAAATTGTAACGACAAACATTGAACTTAAAACTTCAACGCACTTCTTGACTTGTACTCCAAGAACATTGATTCGTATTAAGAATTTCAAAGCAATAGCCTGTTTCAGCACACAAGATAAATTAAATTTTAGCGTCTTACATAAATATATTGACTTACCATGGTGTAACAGTTGGCAACACATCGTGCTTTCGTAACAGTCCTGTCTGATAGTTTTTGGCCTTCAGCTTGAAAGTTATTAAGCCAGTTTAGTGCAAACCATATGAAAAAACATTTGACGAGAACTGAAATACTGGAGGTTGGAAACAGAAACATGACTGAGCTCTCCCATAAACTTCAATCAAGTCATTTTGTATGTCTTAGTTCTAGTTGTTTGTAAAGGTGACCCACGTAAATAGGTCATCATGTGCCAAAGGAACTGCACCTGAATAAAGGACAAACTATTGATATTGGACTAACAATACATCTAGCATTTTAATTGGTCCATTCAGTTATGTTCTCGCTATTTTAGAAACACCTAATTGCTAACTGGCAAGTGGATGATTTATGACAAACATTCTGTATTTACACTAAATGGACAACATTTGGACTAAATTACATTTCATGTGGCTCTAGTTTCTGATTTTACGCTAAGTAAATGTTGTACAGGACAGTTTCCGGTTTAAAGATGTCTCCGTTGCGTCGGTTGAATAAATAGATAACTTATTCAATTAGTACCTACTGTAAAATATTTTAGATTTAGATGTTGTCAAGCAGAGCAA